AGTACTGACCACTAGGGGGCAGACGTACCCAAGCCATTTAATAAGTTGCTTTTACTATAAATTTTGAATTTGTTTGAGCTATACACTCTCGAAGCCAAAGGTGTGTCTTCTTTAAAACTACATACTCAAACAAGAAAAAGAAAAACCCTGATACTGACTCATAATTTATAACTTTCAGCCTTTTTCATTTTCTTACTTGCTAGCAAGTCTTGTCTTTGTTTCCAATTTCAATAAAATTAAATTTGCAATAGCCAGACATAGTAAATTAATCAGCTTGCTGTTATATAAGATTGGCAAGGTCCATTAGCACCTGAGTTTGTGTGTCTAAGTGAAGACACTGATCACCTAGTTATGTATATTATTTAACCTCATTCCTACAATACGCCTCCTAATTAAGTACTGTTAGCGTTCTCATCTGTAAGATGGAGAAATTAGAGACTTTTAAAAGGTCACAAATTATAAGGCAGAATAAGGATCCAGGCCCAGTTTTGCCTAATTCCAAATTTTGTGTAGACATAACTTCTGATTTTTTTGTTTTAATTAAAAAATATACAATACATGCCAAAAACTGAATAATATATATGCATATATACATCTTAAAAATAATTGTAAAACTAAAACCCATTTTATCTTACCCTATTCAAAACAACTTAAATGTCAATTAAATTGCAATAAATATATAAAATAGTTTTATAATTGATATTTCTTCCAGACTTGCAGGAATCCTTCACATATCCATTTATCGGTTCTTTTCCAGCTGTCTATGTTGCAACTATGTTCTCCTACTTTTTGCTTTGCCTTTTCACTCTTTCAATGGGATTTTTAATATAAAGGTTAATGACTGTTTTGTGGTTGAATTTTCAGTCTCTTTAGTGGTTGTCTTTTTGTGTCTTGTTTAAGAAATACAGCATAATAAACACTTCCTTACCCTCAAGTCATCAAGGTTTCCTTCTATTTTACCTTCTAAAAGCCTTTTAGAATTTAGCCATATAGTCTACCTAGAACTGATTTTTTATATATGATATGAGGAAGGAATATTGTTTTTATTTATTTTTTTAACCATTTGAATGGTCAATTGGCCTTGCACCATTTACTAATAGTCTGCTGTTTTCCCACTCATCTGCAATGCTATCCCTATCATGTAGCAAATGTGCATTCACGTCTGAGTCTGTTTCTGGATTCTCTATTCTGTTTCATTGATTTATTGGTGCACCTCAAGTCAAGTTACATTCCCTTAATTAATATCTTTTTACACCCATTTTCCCACCCTCTTCTCCTTCAAGAATATCTTGGTTATTTTTGGCTCTTTGCACAACTATGTGAATTTCAGGGAGAAAAGATGTCACATACTTCACGATGCTACTTCTCACATTCAAGTTATATTTGAAAACTGAAATACACTACATTATCATAACGGAATGTTTATTATTATTCAAAATTGAGACACCAAAAATCATATGGTTTTTCTTTGTACAGTTATAAAACAGAAAAAGCTTAACACTATGTTCCATTTACATCTGTAAAAGAGCCTACACATCCTTTATTACACGACACGGTTATGGTAGAGAATTTCAAATTGTGCTGAGCACATGACACATCAATAATACTACTATGTCATTTTATTACCCATCCCAGGAAAAAGGCCATTTTCCGTATGCTGTGTATTTTCCCGTAATTGGGGTAGTTACCAGAGGCCACTGATCAACAAATTCTGGATACTGTCTGGTCTGGGGAAAAACAAACAAATTTGTGCCACCATCAAAAAATAAGTTTTTACTGATAGAGATTTCTAGGCGGTATCTGCTTCTCATAAGAAGGAAATGGTATCCATGCTCAATCTGTCCAATCTCAACCAATTTCACTATGGGAAACATAAACTTCTAAAGTTAAGCATTCTGATTATGAGAAGCAGCAGTAAAGACCACATTCCCAGTAATGGCTTGCCATAGTAGGTTGTCCCTACTGTTTCCATAGCATAAACCTATGTTTTACACAGATATCATTGTTTCTTGTTTCTTTTCTCCCCCCTCTCACCTTTTTATTCTTTCTTTTTAAAATTCAGATATCTTTATCAACTTTCTAACTTGCCTATCTAGTACAAATATGATTCCCGGGAAAGAACCCCCGAGAATTGAAATTCACTCTCGGAATGGTGGTGAACCTTCAGAAAAAGCCATCTACACTTGATTCAACACATCAAGCCCAATTTTCAAGGCTCCCAGATCCATTTTGGTATGTTGGTACTGGTTTTAGTCAACATACTATGAGTATAGTTGCCACTGACTGCTTGAGCTGTGGGTGCTATTCAAGTATGCAGTTCTCAAAAATATTTCTTCTCCAGGAGATTGTTAGTTGAAAACGTTGACTCCTACATGCAGTTGAATGTAATATGTGTAAGGCTGCCCATAATTATTCTTTTCAAAGTTTCAGAGGCCAATCCATCAGCGATCTGTATCACCATATTAGGCAACGGTTTACTCTCTTGGACACCATTCTGATGTCCCGAACATATCATCACATGAAAGAAGTCAGATCCCCAAAAGCAGACAGTGCAGAAATACCATTTATGTAAGACATAAAAACAGGCGAGACTAACCTCTGCTGTCAGAATAATGAATGTCTTAGGTAACAACTAGACTGAGGCAAAAAGAGAATTTATAGAGTGCCTGCTGGTGATATTCTGTTTCTTATCTGAGTGCTAGCTTCTCGGGTGTGTTAAGTTTGTAAAAATGCATCAAGCTGTGTACTTACGAACCATACACTTTTAATGTTTATACTATACTTTAATAAAATGCTATTTAAAGTGATGAACAATTTTAAACTTATAAGATTTCTTAGCAAACCTTATAGTCTAAACAAGGGTCTGGATTCAAAACTCCCCAGACTCTGAAAGATACATACTGCATTGTGTCTCTCCAGCTCGGCAAATACAGCAGTGGCCGGGTTCATAAGTAACTTTCTTCAATAATAAATCACCCTCGCTGGCAAGATAAGACCTATGATGGGCTAATCATGTTATCTTGCACCTCTGAACAAGGTAAATGTTCCTAGGTGTGGGCACATGACTCAAGACAGATCAACTGAAGTGCTTTTTTGGAGTATTTCACGAGAAACTGGGAATAAACAAAGTTATCTTTCTTTTCTGATCACAGGGTTGAATACATGTGAGCTTGAAGCTTAAGATTTATCAAACTGCTAGCCTGAAAGAACAACAGCAACATGCAAAAAAAGAGACGAGAACAGTGTGTGTGTGAGTGTGTGTGTGTGTGTGTGTGTGTGTGTGTGTGTGTGTGTGTGTGTGATAAGAGAGAAAGAAAGAGATAAACATGGAGAGTAATATATAGAGAGAAACAAATAGCTTGTGAATCCCCGGATTCAATCATCTCCAAAGCCAGTTCAATCCCAACCCTTTCTATGGTTTGATGACTTGATCCAACACCTTTGTCCTCTTTTCTATTCACGTTCCCAGCTCAGGTTGAGTTTTGTCCTTTGTAGCTAAAATAATCATAACTGACAGAGTCATCAAGCTATAGTTTCTTTCAGTTTTTATATTGCAGAATTCTTATTCGTATTAATTGCCACATTCTGGAAGAGGGATTCAAGTTTTAAGCAAAAATGACTTCAGGTTAGAGTAGACAGCATTAAATGGAGACCCATAGAGATTAAAATCAAGTAACTTAGAAATAAAATAAAATTAAGATGAAATGAGTAAAGATCAGAAGATGCTGGTGAGTCACATAATTTTTTTTTCAAAATCACACACCCACACACATTCAGTTAGACCCAGGTTTTACAAGAAGAGACTTTATTTTTTCACAGAGACAGATAAAATATCCAAGAGTATATATTATTGTTTTGCACAATTTTGGTCTCAAATCATGCCGTTCCTAGTTATTTACAGGTGCAATATTTTTGTATGTGTACCTTCCTCCTAGACATAAACGAAATACACCCATTCAGTCCCAGTTACTTCTCCTTTTTTTGTGTTTTCTCCTTTCTCTATTTCACTCTTTTATGATGAGATCAAAGGTACTAACATGTGAAGGTTTCACAAATGCATGTTCTTCAGTTACACACTTGACAATTCAATGATTCTGAACCTTGAGAAAAGAGAACAAAATATTCTTAGTGGATTATCCAGGAGGACAAAGCAATCAGAGAGAAGAGGAACATTGGGCCATGAGAGGTCGACATCTACCCTGGCCTTAGGAGCATGTGCACGCTGAGGCAGTGAATCCGAGATGGCAGGGTCAGGGCAGCAAAGTTGGTCATGGGAGAGTTTCCCAGCAATCAGAGAGTAAGAGTGAATTGGAGAGGAAATATATTCTAATTGGATTTCCCAAGATCTAAAATAATATTTGAGAATAATAAACTGGAACCTTGTCTAATCTTTAAATGGAACAGTGCATCATGTATGAATTCCAAGTTAATAAAAAGAGAATTTTATTAACCTGGAATTCTGAAGCCACATTCTGAAGCCATAAATATACAGAAGCATACCCCTTACATAGCTCTGACCACTCTGGGACTCAGGAACTAAGACAAGGAAGAGGAGTAAAAAGACACGTCACAAAAGACAGAAGCCGCAGAATCGCTCACTCCCCTCTCTCTCCATCAAAAGTGGACTGGATAAAAGAAACGCAGTACATATATACAATGGAGTATTACGCAACCATAAAGAAGGGCAAAATCGTGAACTCTGCAGCAAATTGGATGGAGCTGGAGACCGTCACACTTAGTGATCGATCACAGAAACAAAGAACTGAATGCAGCATGTTCTCACTCATAAGCGCAACCTGAGCACCAATCACCTTAGAACAAGGGAGGGATCGGCAGTCTCTGGACCCTGCCGGGGGGGAGGCGGGGGGGGGGCACATAGCATCGCAAAGGATGCCTGGTCCTAAACCCAGGGAAGTGAGGGCCAGCTGGAGGTCCAAACTTCCCCTGCACGCAGCCAGCTTGTGTAGCTAAGCCTGACTTTTACCTCACATCTCTATAATAAAATAAAATAAAGCATATATATTTTAAAAAGACAGAGGCAGCCGGGCTCGCTGGCTCAGCCTGTAATCCAGCGCCTTGGGAGGCTGAGGTGAGTGGATTGCCTGAGCCCGCGGGTTCGAGACCCGCCTGGGCAACTTGGCGAGGCCTCGTCTCTACAATAAATCAAAAAATCAGCCGGGCATGGTAGCTCGCGCCTGTAGTTCCAGCTACTCGGAAGGCTGAGGCGGAAGGATGGCCAGAGCCCAGCAGGGCGAGGCTGCGGTGGCTGGGAGCGGCCACTGCACTCCGGTCTGAGCGACTGAGTGAGACTCCAACTCAAAAAAAAAAAAGACAGAGGCGTAAGGTCCTAAGGAAGGGGAAGAAAACTAAAGATCACATCTGCTCAGGGACAATGGTACCAATCCAGCTCTAGGCCCCAAGCAAAGAAGCACATTCCAAGAGAAGCCACCAGGGCCACAGCTTGGGATGTTCAGACAGTGGAAATGACAAAGGTGGATGATTTCCAAACTTTCATCTTAAGAGGGAAGAGAGACAATGCAGATTCTCTAGGAGGCACTTACTCAAGGAGGAAGAAAAAGAAGAAAAAGTGAGAGGGAAAATGCGTCCAGGCAGTGGGTCAAAGGGCACGCCTAATCACAGGACACCAACCCACAAAGAGACACAGAACTGCCAGCGCTCAGACAAGGCAGGCAGGAAGTAGGCGAGTTGTTGACACCTTCAAGCCTTCTATGCCACTAAATGTATTTACCTGTTTTCTCAGGAGGCAAATCCTCTAAGAAGTCATCCGTAGCCCACAGCATCTGTCTCAGTGCAGTAAGTGTTAGAACATCCTTGATGGGGTCCAGCTCCCACTCTGAGACATAATTGCTCACCACCAAGATGTCAGAAAGAGCAAAGCCAAGTATTCTTTGGACTACCTCTCGCTGCAAGACAGAAATTAAAACCCAGACATCTCCAAACAGTAAAAAATATCATTTGACGTCAATGTAAGTGATCAAAGAAAGACCAAAAAGTGGGTGCTTGGCAATTATTTTCCTGTAGGGGGAAAAAATGGAGATTGGGTTCCATAAAGTTGTTTCTTGAAGAACTTTGTGTATGAAGTTCTCATATCACTACTAATTTTCTCTTGGGATACAAGTAATGGAATCAGTATTTGTTAGAGACAAAAGATAACTAAAAGTTCTATAGAAACTATTATGAAATTGAGGCATTTTTAATACACTTACACTAGAATCCATGATTGTCCTATTCCTTTTAAAAGCTGTTCTCAGGATGAGCCAATTTTATTAGACTAGTTTAATCTTTAATTCTTGCTTCAACTGGTTGATCTCTGAAGTCAGATTGCCTGAGTTCAAAACGTGCGTCTGTCACTTCTTAGCACTGTCCGTAAACGTTGGAAAATGCCTTACTCTGTCTGCTTTTGTTTTCTCATCTTTCAAATGTGGTGATGATGGTGCCAATCTCATGGGACTGTTTTAAGGGTTGAGGAGGAAGGTCTATCATGTCATTTGTTCTCAGGAAATAGTAGCAATTGCTGGATCCCCCCAACTGGTGTTTCCGCTTCCAGGTTCGTTTTGTTTCTAATCTACTCTGTAAACAGCGGCAGATTGGTTTTTGTGACGCTTAACTTTGATCACGTTGTTACTCTTCCAAAGCATCACTAAGATTCCTCCTGATGCACGTAATTATGTGAAAGCACCGTCTGCAAAAGCTCCGGTCTCTTTTTCATCTCCCCCTAAGGATCAGCCCTAAACTGAGCTCCACGCTTCCCAAGCATGCCGCCTTGTCCTCCATTAAGATATTGACTTATACAGAATTTGTTCTCCCTTTCTATCTGTTCACTTTTCGAAAATACTCCTTCCTCCTTGAAAGTTGTGTCCCAGTGTCCCCCCACTTATGAAATCTCCCCCCTCCCTTTTGATGCTACATTTTTTCCTCTAAACTCTTAAAGCATTTTGTTTTTAGTTGTTTCATGATATTTCTCATATACAAAATATGCATTCTCTTGTTAACTTTCTTATCTCACCCCTCCATTCCCACATGCCCACCTATAAAACTGTAAGATTTTTGGTGCAAGGAAATGGTTTTCATTGTCTGTGTATCTGATTAGAGACTATCACCCTGGCTCCAAAATGTGGTACACATACACAATGGAATATTATGCAGTCATAAAGAATGACAAACATATGGACTTCACAGAAACTTGGATGGATTTAGAGTCTATCATACTCAGTGATCTATCACAGAAACAAAGAACAGAGTACCACATGTTCTCACTCATTAGCGAACCTTGAACAATTATCACAATACTATAAGAAAGGGATTGGCGGTGGTGGGAAACTGCCAGGGGAGGGGGGGCATCTCATCAACAAGGGTACTTGCATAATGAACATTTGTATACCTAACCCTGAATTATGCCCCGCATCTGAAAGAAAAAAGGCAATCAATAAATATTTGTTGAATGGATCCTAACTGAATTAAATTATAATACATGCAATGAATCTGCATCAGTGTAAAGAAAAATACAGATAATCAGCCCTCTGCACTCATGGGTTTCACTGCTGTGGATTCAACCAACTAAGGCTCAAAAATATTAGAAAAAATTCTGTCTGTGCTGAACACGCACAGAGTATTTTTTCCCTGCCAATATTCCCTAAAAAAATATAGTGTAACAGCTATTGATATAGTATTTACATAATTGCATTAGGTCCCATAAGTACTCTAGAGGGGATATGGAGTATACAGAAGGATGCATATAGGTTGTTTGCAACTACTATGCCATTTCATACCAGAGACTTAAGCAGCTGCAATTTTTGTTATCAGCAGGAGATCCTACAACCAATCCCCCTTAGATACCAAGCAATGATTGTATTTAATTTTCAAAAATTGGGGAATGAGCCCTATGTAAGCAAGTCCTAAAATTCTTCTTAAATTCAGTAGCTGTCTATTTTTATTTTTATACACAGTCCTATGTGATTATGGTAACATGCCCCAGAAGAAAATATGTTTACAGAGAGTATCACGCTTTACCTTCTGCTTCACAGGCACACATTTCTCTATATCGATAAGGTCACCTTTGGTAATCAGATCCACTTTATCTACGTTAGTAAGCAAAGCCACAAAGACCACGCCTGTGCCAAACAGAAACATATGAGTTTTTGTTTTAGTCATTTCAGACATCAGCAGTATTTTTAAGTTAATCAGCTATCAAGTATGCGATAGGCTACCAATGGAGCAATTTCAGATTCCCATACCTACCATCCCTGCCCACAAAAGTCCTTCTGGAGACCTATTCACAACCGGGATTTCTCTGACATGGGAAGTCACCTTCATTGCCTTCCATGGTAAGTAATGAGGCTTCAAATGAAGCCACCTCTTGGAAAAGGTAACAAAAATTCATGCTAAAATATCACCGATGGATTTTATATTCTGGCCAACGTTGTGCTTTGATGGAGACAGAGAAAATGCCTAAGGACTCTAATGAACAAGATAGGGAATAAGAGTCTTCAAGAAAGACCTAGAATGAGTGAAAGCATCACAGAGCAACCATTCTTATTTCACGTTAGCCAGCATGTCTCTGCACATCCTCTTCTACAAGATTTAAAATTCAACGAGCAGGTAAGTCAACCATTCTCTTCTTGTAAAATAATCAAAGTTGTGATAAACTGACTCTTTCCCACTCAAAATGGACAAGGTCAAGAAAAGCCAGAATGGAGCACCCTATTCCTCAGATCCTGGTTACCATCTCCAAGCCCTGTATACTATCTCTATCCCACCAAACAACTTACTTTCCTGCTTCTTTTCTTAGTGAAATGTTTCTTTTCACTTTCTAATCTTTTAAGACCCAAAGGGAATGCCATGACTCTTGGTCACTAAATGTATGCCAGGGTATAGCGGCAGCAGGTAGTTAGGATCATACTACTCTTCGTATATACATTAATTTGTTTAATCCTCATCAAAAATATCTTTACAGTGGATGCTATTATTATACTAATTTTATGGATTACAAAACTGAGTCACAGAGAGTTTCAAGTCACTTGCACAAGCTCACAAGTTAGTGAGTGCTCAACTGTATTAAGCAAAGTTGGTGGACCAGGGAAGACAGAACTATGCAATTACTTAAGCTCTTCATCCTGGCTCAAACCCATTCTAGAATATAGTCTAGCCCATTACCCTTAGGAGCAAAGTAGAATGAGACTCACCACAATTTATCACCTCTCTTCGAAATCTTTTGATCTTTGCCACCATCTCAGAAGAGAGATATTCAACAGAGACGGCATCAAACACAAACACCACACAATGGATTCTGTCCTTCAGCAATGGTGAGGCAACATAGCTATGATGACTTGATGTGATTGGTTTCATGGGGTTAAACTGTATGGTGGACATAAAATAACATATTAATTTAACAAATGTTTATGAGCACATAGTGCGTACGAGGCTAACAAGCTGATAAAGAGGGTATGCATTGTGTAAGGAGCTAGCAGTCCTGTCACCTGGTCAAATTAGGTTTCTGAGAAGAAGAGACATGTAATTTTTTTTTTTTTGGAGTTGGAGTCTCCCTCTGCCACCCAGACTGGAGTGCAGTGGCCGCTCCCGGCCACCGCAGCCTCGACCTGCTGGGCTCCGGCGATCCTTCCGCCTCAGCCTTCCAAGTAGGAGCTACAGGCGAGTGCTACCACGCCCTGCTAATTTTTGATTTACTGTAGAGATGAGGTCTTGCCAAGTTGCCCAGACGGGTCTCGAACCTGCGAGCTCAGGCAATCCACTCACCCCGGCCTCCCAAAGCGCTGGGATTACAGACTGAGCCACCGAGCCCGGCCTGAGACATGTAATCTAAAAACAGATGGAGTTCATCTGGTAAAGGGGATAAGGAGATGGCAGAAGATGTTCTAGGTAAAAGAAGCAGTGTGGGCAAAGATGGAGGTGGGAGTAGTCAGAAACAGGCATCATCACTCAGACGCAAGCGGAAAGTGGTTCAAGAAGAGATGACTTTCCTCTTCAACCAGCAGCTCCTGTGCTGAGGGTCCGTCCCACAAACAAACTGGCAAAAATACAGAACAGTGTATGCACAAGGCTATTAACTACAGGACTCTGTAGCAACAAAAGTCTGCTATGTCAATAAAATACAGCAATCTACCACTTCTCTAAGAAAGGCGGAGCCATACACTTATATACATTTTCTTGTACGTTAAAAAGTTAAGCAAACCATACATTTTAGATGGTTACTTATTGGAAGAGGGGAGAAACATATTTGAAGGGACAGAGAAGGAAGATAAATTCTTTGAATATGCCTTGTTTTGCGGATTTGATTTCAGAACCATGCAAATGCTCAACATAAATATGAAACAAAATTAAATTTAAAAATAAATCTCTAAATTAATTAAATTAGTGAATTTTTGTATCCAATTGTGGTTGTAATTACTCTTTCTGATTAGTTTTAAGACACACTATTTCTGATTTAGTTTTAATTTGTATACACTTACAAAGATACATGGTACATTCTAAACACGCAATAAAAATCTGCTAACATTTTTTATGGTGTCTAGTTTTGATTGTGATTAATGAAATGAAATTGATTATGCTGAGATTGTTCATGATACTGATAAGGCTTTTACAATGAGATACTGTAGATGTTATTTAAGATAAACAAATGAGTTTGTGACATGATAATCTGTCATCTCTGGTATTTTTGAGAATGGGAATTCTCAGTTTGGGAGGAAGCAGATACACAGGTAAGAGAGAAGAAGTAAATAAAAGTTAGTTAGTCCTGAATTTGCATGAGAAGTTTCTATATGAATTTATAATTTATTTTTCATGAATATATATATATATCTTAACTATTCCCAATTAAAAGGGTAAGAAACAATGATCCGTCAAATAACAAGTAGTTCTAATAGTCTAAATCAGAACTTCTGGAAAAATAACTGATTCAAAATTGTGACAGAAACATACAAAATGTAGCCGAGATATCTAGTCATGACAGAAATCAAATAATATCACAAAGACTTTTGGGTTCATGTCATGTCAAAGAGACTCAGGATCCAAATAGTAAAGTCTCCCATGGGTACAAGATGGCACATTTGACGTTAGTATGAAGAAAAACTACAGTGAATTAAAACACATAAAATATGTTCAATTCATATTTAGTTTATAATGACCATAAAATAATAGATGGTCATTACTAGCAAATGCTAAGGAAGTAACTAATCATTTCAAAATCTTGTAAAAAGGAGGAGAAAATCCACATATATCCCACTTTTCCCTTTTAAACTGTGCCACTGGGGAATCAAATCGTGGATAAGGAGAGGTTTTTCTTTCAAATGTGAAATGATAAATGGATGACAGAAATACAATATCACTGTTTTCACATCCTAAGAAATAAATGGAGATAGCCATTGAACATTAATGAACACTAATATTAGAGAAGTGATGAAATCCCAAATTTTACACCTTCCCATAAAGCACAGCACCATCTATGAAGTAAAAACTGAATTGGGACATGATTCTAGATTCAACTATCAACTTCCAGTTAGTTTCAGATATATAGACAACAGAGGACCAGGAAAAACCACCCAGAGGAGTGCAAAGAGCATAGTTCAGACTGCGTGGAAGTCTGCAAAACAAACAGATTTCTTAAAAAACACATTTCAAGGAAAAGAACAAAAGCAATAAAGGCCGAACATACACATTAAAAGAGGCTGTCTAGATTTATTTGAATTGTATTTAAAATAAACTTTAAAATGCATGATATTTATAAAGCAATTAAGAATTTAAACATTGAGTAGTATTTGATAAGTAAAGGAGCAATTGTAAATTTTAGGTATGATAAGGGTGTTATAGCTATGTTTAAGGAAACATATCTATGCTCTTATGTATATATATGTATATTCAATAATGAATGAAATGCTATGACTTCTCAAGCTTGCTTCAAAATAATACAGGAGAGGAAAATTTGGGTAGATATAGATAAAACAAGCCTGCTTCTAAGTCAAACGTTTTTGAAACTGAGTACATGGGAATTCATTCAACTATTTTGTCTATTTTTACACAGGTTTAAAATTCTCTATGAAAAAAAGTGTATTTTTCAAAATATGCATTTAAAAATAAGCTTAACAGCATTCACAAGATAAATCCATAATAAAGAATAAAAGAAATGTCATGAATAAAAAAGTGTGTTTTTAAATAGGCACATTGGTTATGTAAGATGTAAATCCATTTTTAATATGAAATGTTAGCATAATTTCAATCAAAAAACAAGAAATCAAACACAAAGCCGGGTTCGGTGGCTCAGCCTGTAATCACATGCCTTTGGGAGGCTGAGGTGAGTGGATTGCCTGAGCCCGTGGGTTTGAGACCCGCCTGGGCAGCAAGACCTCATCTCTACAATAAATCAAAAAATCAGCCGGGCATGGTAGCGGGCATCTGTAGTTCCAGCTACTTGGAAGGCTGAGGCGGAAGGATCACCGGATCCCAGCAGGTCGAGGCTGCGGTGGCCCGGAGCAGCCACTGCACTCCAGTCTGGGCAACAGAGTAAGACTCCAACTCAAAAAAAAAAAAAAAAAAAAAGAAAAAGAAATCAAACACAAACAATTAAACAAAACACAGTAACTTTACTTGGAAAAGTGTATGTGTGAAAATATACTTATCCAGATATAATTGCTATGATAATTAGAACAATTAAACAATATAGTAATTAAAATTATATCATAAAAGAATAGATAAGTCAATTGGGAAAAAACTAATGAATACAAAACTGACCCTAATGTTTTATTTAAAAAGATACAGCAGGCACTCAATAAAAGATGTGGGCATGATTGACTCTCCATTTGGAACAAGATAGATTAATGATTAATTAAAGATACAAATGTTTACTTAAAACACTAGAATTTTTTTTAAAAAGGCCAGACTGAGGTAAATCAAGTCAAGGCCAGACTTGATTTCCCCTTCCTCTTGCCTAGAAAAATCTGCTAGTGCTTCGTATAAAGGATGAAAGCCACATATCTCACTCAAGTAGGACTGCTGTAACATGCTACCACAGACTAAGTGGCTTACACAACAAACATTTATTTCTCATGGTTATGAAGGCTGGGAAGCCCAATACCAAAGTGCCAGCACACTTGTTTTCTGGTGAGGGCTCTCTTCCTGGTTTGCAGACAGACACCTTCAAGTTGTATCTCCACATGGCAGAAAGCGGTCATCTCTTTCATGCATCTTCTTATAAGAGTACTAATCCCATTCATGGGGGCTCTACCCTCATGACTTAGTTACCCCCCAAACACTCTAGCTACAAATACCATCACATTGGGTATTAGGGCTTCAGCATGTTAGTCTGGGGGAGACGCATTCAGTCTATAATACCCCATGCCAAGGGTCTCAGAAAGTCAGAAGGACCTCTGAAACTCATAACCTCAGCGAGCCGCCAAGTTGGCTCTGAGCTGCCTGCCTGCAAACTTCCTGTTACCTCAGCAAAATTATCTCTGTGGGTAAGTGAATGTGGGTGAATTTCTGTTTTGCACAGCCAAAGGCAATTGAAGGTAGGATTGCATTCATAGCAGTTATGATAGTTCTGACAGAAGAGTCCTTGAGATGCTTTTATTCTTGGTGGAAAAAGTATCAAAAAGGGACCGAGAACCTTGAACAAGTATAGTTTAAGAAGATAAATGGTGATACATTAAGCTAGACTAGAGTCTGAATGAACAATGGGTAAAAACAAGCATTTAAAAATTCAATGATAGTTTCTTGTAGATGAGCCAAATCTTACCTGGTACCTATCAGGAACATGACCTTTTAAGATAGAGAGCATGTCATCTATGCATAGGCCTTCTTTCTCACCCAGTCCCAGTGAGTCACACAGAACAAATGGCAGGGAGGTGCCATCACTCCTATCCTTAATAGAGTATGTCCTGTACTACAGAGGGGGGAAAAAGCAACTTTCAGGGTTCATCTTTTTAAATGCAAATTGAGATGAAATCCACGCATAATAAAGTTGATCAGAAAAGTCTTTTCAAATGCAATTAACTTAAACAAAGAAGCAAAGGTTGGGTGGCCTAAAATATACCTACCTGCTTAGATATCCCACTTGTATCAGACCCCACCAAAGCCTGATTTGTTACATGGCCTCGGAAAACAGACTTCACTGTGTTGAAAAAGCTAGACTTCCCAGCGCCAATTGGACCCAGCAGAAGGATTCGTACTTGGTGAACAAGCTCTCCATATGGTTTATGAGTTCTCACAGCTGACAGTAAGCTCTCTCTGAGCCTGTTCAGACACAAGTTAGCAGTTGGTCGAGACTAGATCTCAAGGCTTTGCCATTAAATTATCTTAGAATTCATTTTTTTCTTATAGTTATTTTTGATTAACAATGTGCTTTCCTACATAAAAAGACATGAGACTACCCTACCTCAAATCCTATTGAAGAAGAAAGAAAAGCAAAAATTACCCCTTACTAAAGCCAATCAGACATAACATCTTTCAGACTTAAGTTACTAGATCATATAAATTTAAGAGTAAATAAGTGTTACGTTAAACGAGAATACACATTATTCAAAAATAAACTTAAAAAATCACAATATAATATGTGACTTTTGAAGTTTATGGAAGTAGACCACTTCTAACATGTTCCTGAAATTCATGATAGGTATTTTCTACCTGTCAATCACTCCTGCCTTAGTGACTCTCTAAAGCAGAGGAAATTTTAGTTGCAAGAATTCTAAACAAAACACAGAAAAGTAGGCAAATAATTATTTTTCTTCAAGTACATAATAACATTAGAAATGTCTTCCCTCTACTCAGTGTCCATTTTTATCAAATCATTTTATGACTATAGATATCATTTGTTTCTGAAGACCCACAAGTTACCTGTGATAACTCCTGTTACCAACTTTATTGATGAAGACTTACAGATTATGAAGAGAGTAGCAGAATGTTAAAAACATTAACTTACTCAGTAACCCCTTTTATCTTTCTTGTGTCCAGTAAATCTAGGGAAATAATCAAAGAATAAAGTAGATTAGAAGTTGCTGAATGATTGACTAAATGAATGAACGTCAATGAACTCTCTAAGAGAAATATAAAAATAGACTTTCCATGAGAGCAGTACAGTATAATGAAAATTAAGCAGTTTTACAGAAAAAAATCCAACAAAGCTCATTAACATCATCTCATTTAAAGGGGCAAGAGTGAGAGGCTAGGTAGACAATACAAGACTTCAGCAGCCATCTCATCTCACGCAATCACTTAGCAGCAGCATGTGGCTGCTCCAACTTGGGAATGGAGGGTGGGAATGCTTTCTGGTTAACATAAGCAAGCCCTAGAGATGTGGGAATGCTGTAAAAGACATTTCCTCCCCCACCCCCTCCCACAATCCAATGTAGGAAGATTCTATTGGACTATGAAGGAACAATGTGCAGAGACACACACAAAAAAGCTACATGCATCAGTTTTTCCACAACCTGCTCACAACAATTGGGACTCCAGGAACTTCCGTTCACTGGATCTTATTCCTAGCTTCAGAAGAGAAGGTGACACTTGTGCTCAGCCAATCAGAGCACAGCAAATGGATCAAGGCCTGGGCGGAGACCAATGAGACTCAGGCCCAGAATTTTTTTTTTTTCTGGGAATGAGACACTCTTCTATGATGGATTTTAAATGGAAAAGATTAGAAGTATCATGCTAGCAATTCTCTAAACTATGAAAGACTATCATGTGGGACATTTATAAATATGGCTGTATGTATAACAAAGTAAGTCATATTAAATTATCAAAAGTAGAAATTGTGACGCTTTAGTCAATGACAATAATATAATACAACTAGAAATCAACAAGTATAAACAAATGGAAAAGCAGCCTATTGGGACTTTAATAAGTTTTCTGTTAAATAACTTTAACATTCAAAAGGAAGTTTAGACACTAACATTATACACATATAAAAAATATCAATATAAACACTTTATGTCAACTTTGTGATAAAATCACACTGCATTCATGGCAAGAAAAAAGGAAAATTCTGAACATTGAAAATAGAAGCAAAAAACAGTAAAGAAACAAACTTTAGGAATAGACAAAGAAGTAATTAATAAAAATCTTAAGCCAATTCTTAAAATGTGGAAAAAATGATAAATTAATATAAATTATTTCAAAATGTAAAATAAATAAGTAACTCGTCTAAATGCCATATCACCACTCATATCCTATAATAGCCACATATTTTAAAACTAATAATATATGGGAGGCTAAGGTGAGAGGACCTCTTGAATAAAGGAGTTTGAGACCAGCCTAGGCAACATAGCGAGACCTCTTCTCTACAAAAAAATTTAAAAATTTTCCAGATATAGTGGCACATACCTGCAGTCCCAGTTACTTGGGAGACTGAGGTGGGAGGATCACTTGAGCCCAGGAGTTTGAGGACGCAATGAACTCTGATTTCACCACTGCACGCTAGCACTCCAGCTTGGGCAACACAGTGAGACACTGACTAAATAAAAACAAACAAACAAACAAAAAGTATAGGATAAAAAAATGTGGTACCTATACACAGTGGAATATTACACAGCCATAAAGAAGGACAAACGTATGAAATTTGCAGCCACTTGGATGAATTTAGAGTCTATCAAACTCAGTGATCTATCACAGAAACAAAGAACAGAGAACCACATGTTCTCACTCATAAGTGGACCTTGAACAGTTATTGTAATACCATAAGAAAGGAATTGGCAGTAGTGGGAAACTGCTGGGGGGAGGGGGAGAGTGGGATTGGCAGTTGAGAGAAACTACCAGGGCACGGTGGGCATACCTCTTCAACAAGGGTAACTGCATAATGAACATTTGTATCACTAACCCTGAATTGTACACCTCATCTTAAAATAAAACATTTAAAAGTTTTTTAAAAAGTACTATTTTTAAAAAGTATGGGAGAAAACTTGAAGTGACAGAGTTTTTTTTGTTGTTTTTTTGTTTGTTTGTTTGCTTTGTTTTTCTGAGTTGTGGTCTTACTGTATCACCCAGTCTGAAGTACACTGGAACGATCATGGCTCACCGCAGCTTTGACCTCCTGGTCGAGGTGATCCTCCTTGCTTCAGCCTCCCAAAGTGCTGGGATTACAGACTTGAGCCACCGCATTCAACTGTGACAGATTCTTATACACTATTGGAGGTAGTAGAAATTGATACAACTGAGCAACCCCTTGGGTCCCCTCTCATTGTGGGAGATTTTTCTGTCCTCTCAATAAATCCTGCTTTCAAAAAAAAAAGGAAATAAAGAAAGAAATGGACACAGCTATGCTGGAAAATTTTGTCATTATCCACTGAAGTTGAATATATATATATATATACCCTGTGACCAAGCAATTTCATTAGTATTTTCTTCAAAAAATGTGTATATGTGTGAACCAAAGACATATACGAAATGTTTGCAGCAATATTATTAGTGATAGCCCCAAACTGGAAAACCCCATTGTCCAACAACAGTGATGGGCTAAAGGACTGTAAGGGATACGCCACAATGCAATATGACATGAAAATGATAAGAAACAAATCATTGCTACATGCAATCACATGGGTGAATCACTATGACAGTAGGAGTTAAAGCAGTTAGACTGGGATACATTTACTCACTTTACTGGGGAAAACACTCAGGGAAAGAAAGAACACAAGTGACTACCTCTAATTGCCTTATAAATATGCTATTAATTGTATGTGCTAGTAAATCCACTAATGGTATTTTTTCAAGAAAGAGTACTGCTTACCTCTTAAACTTCCTTAACAGCATATCTATGGCTAAGAAATACTTAAGGGTAAGTAAATCCAGATTTTATGGATTAAGGAGGCATTCTTTATGAAAAATGTCATGTAATCAGGTGTATAAATGTTCATAACCTAATCACGCTTCAATTTGTAGGTAGTTCATAAACTTCACTTAAAACCCCTCCCTACCTGTTGTTCATGTGCAGAAAGCATATGCCAAGCACGGAAAGAAAATATCTAGAAAGCCACACAGACTATCCCAGTACTCTTTCTGTCTTCTCTGAGACTTTTGATTGCCCTTATCTTTGAAATTACTAGTTTAGCAATATGGAGTAAGATATCTGATTTGTAGGCATTAGATGTTTCTTTCCAATCTTTTGTATTTGCTCATTCTCACAAATATAATATTGGATGGAACAGGCTAGACATTTTGGTATGGTTCTATGAATGCAATATTCACAAATAAGAAATATTAATTAATGTTGATAGAAAGCAGAATAATGTTTACCTTTGGTTGGTAATAACTGAAAACAATCATAACAGGGTCTTCTGAAGTGATAGTAACGATCTGTTTCTTCATCTGAGTGGTTGTTACATTTGTAAAATGTTTGTCAATTATACACTTATCAACTGCACTTTACTGTTTATGTGTTATATTTTTTCATTTTTTTTGAGTTGGAATCTCACTCCATCACCCAGACTGGAGTGCAGTGGCACGCTCTCCGGCCACTGCAGTCTCGACCTGCTGGGCTCCAGCGATCCTTCCACCTCAGCATTCCAAGGAGCCAAAACTACAGGCACGCGCTACCATGCCTGGCTATTTTTTGAATTACTGTAGAGATGAGGTCTTGCCAAGTTGTCCAGGCGGGTCTCAAATCCGCAGGCTTAGGCAATCCACTCGCCTCAGCCTCCCAAAGTGCTGGGATTACAAGCTGAGCCACCAAGCCTAGCCATGTGTTACATTTCAATAAAAAGTTTACTTAACTGAACTGGGATGGCCAACATCATGACATAGCCAAGTAAATTTACCAGACTTCAGCAATTAAAAATATATATATTTGGGGTAACTTGGAAGAAAGGTCAAAGGACTCAAAGGGTGGTTGTCAGGGATGGGGAGGTGGAGGGTGGAGGTGGAAGGAGAAAGGGAAATGCGTTAGTCAATTAGTACAAAGTTTTACTTACTCAAGATTGTTAAGTCCTAAAGATTTACTGTGCAACATAGTACCTATAGCTAACGATATTATAGCAATAGTGCACAATAAGTGCTCACAGATTCTTGGAAACTGTGACTTTAAACCAAAAAAAAAAAAACAGCAGATCCACGCATAACATCTTTTTGCCATAATGATGAGGAAGAAAGAAGCCAATTTCCTCATTTCACTAGCTGCAGTTTCTAAGTATCTAGGAAGATGCTAAAGTGAGGACTTACTGTACTTGAAATTTTGCTAAGAGGGTAGATCTTATGTGAAGAGTATTATCACGAATATGTGTATTATTGACCATGGTTATCTCAGCTAACAATATGTGGCCAGGTTTCAGTCTAGACCATCTGAAATAAGGACAAGTGAAAAGTCATTTTTCCTTAAAGAGATGGGTTGGCTTGAACCCACCAAACATGCGGGAGAGAACTGTTGGACAATCTGTCTTTCTTTTTTTTTTTTTTTTTTTAGAAATCAGGATTTATTGAGAGGATAGAACAGCTCCAACAGTGGAAGGGTACCCGATCAGGGGTTTCCCCGTATAGGACAATCTAATCAAACCTACCTTCACATCGAAAAACTTCACACTCCTGAATGGAGAGAGTGTCACTTTCAGGCAGCCCAAGGCTTTTCCTTGTGCTTGAGTTCATAGACACATAACATTCATGCAGATGAATCTTGAAATCAGACCTGTATCTTCCCAAATTAAACATATCTTCTGGAGTGACACTCATTTTGCATTCTGAAATTTTATTCTCTCAAAGTGCAAAAAGGATGGCAGGAACATCTTTATTTTCCTGGTAACTCACTTGTGTGTATACTCCAACAATGTAAGTTTTACAATAAGTCACTGTTAGAGTAGATCCTTGATTACAGCATCTTGGTAGCACATCTTTCTGAGAGAACCCATGGACGCTGGCCTTATACAGAAGGCTGAACTGCTTTCTTCCAAAATATTTTTGCAGGGTGTTTTCTTGAAATCCTGTCAAACGAGCTGTCACTGCCACACTTCTTGATCTAGTGGAAAAACAAATATATTTTTCATTAAGTATTGAAAAACAGAGAACATGCACTGTCACGAAACGTGCATGTATGCTTCTTATTTACATAACACAAGAACGAGTAAACACAGGATGAACAGATAGCAAGAAAAGTCATTAGCTCATTTTTACTATAAATTAGAAAAATCATTAGCTGATTTTTACTATAAATTGTTATGTTTAAAAATAAAAAAGAAGCCGGGCTCGGTGGCTCAGCCTGTAATCCCGCGCCTTTGGGAGGCTGAGGTGAGTGGATTGCCTGAGCCCGCGGGTCCGAGAACCGCCTGGGCAGCGAGACCTCATCTCTACAATAAATCAAAAAATCAGCCGGGCGTGGTAGCACATGCCTGTAATTCCGGCTACTCGGAAGGCTGAGGTGGGAGGATCGCCAGAGCCCAGCAGGTCGAGGCTGCGGTGGCCGGGAGTGGCCACTGCACTCCAGTCTGGGCGACAGAGTGAGACTCCAACTCAAAAAAATAAAATAAAATAAAAATAAAAATAAAAAAGAGATTGGCAAGTGACCAGGAAAAGAGAGAGAGAGAGAGAGAGAGACAAGGAGAGAGTGAGAGGAGAGACCTATTGATTGCTAGGAAAAGTGGAAAACAGCAAGTTATTTACCTGCTGCAGTAGCTGTACAAGGGCTGGAGCGGAGGGTAGCTGCTCTGTCTGGATAGCTAGTCAGGCACAAGACGGGAGCAGGAAATTGTCCAGCAGCCTTGACGCTTCAGAGACTCCGAGAAAGGAAACTGAAACTTAGTAAACCCAACCCAACTGGCAGCGTGACAACTTCCCTCAGCAAAGGAGCATAAACGGATTAAGCTAAATTTAGACAGTAAAGCCATATAAAAATGATACTGGAATCATCAAGGACTTGAAGGCAGGCTGAGGGAACATAACAGTTCACTGACTTTTTCAAAAATATATTTTATTTAAGGAAAATTCAATCCACTTCTGTATAGAGGCATGCATGCAAAAGAGTTCTGTTCATTCTACCTTCACAACGCATGTCTCAAACCCATCTACTTATCTCTTTTTTTTTTTTTTTGAGTTGGCATCTCACTCTGTCGCCTAGACTAGAGTGCAGTGGCTGCTCCCAGCCACCACAGCCTCAACCTGCTGGGCTCCGGCTATCCTTCCGCTTTAGCCTTCTGAGTAACTGGAACTACAGGCATGCACTACCACGCTCGGCCGATTTTTGATTTATTGTAGAGATAAGGTCTTGCCAAGTTGCCCAGGCGGGTGTCAAACCCGCAGGCTCTGACAATCCACTCACCTCAGCCTCCCAAAGCGTGGGATTACAGGCTGAGCCACCGAGCCCGGCCCATCTACTTATCTTAATCTTTCCTCTCAATTCATTTCACAGTAGCACCCTTCCTTCCATAGAATATTATAGTCACCTAACAAGCTCCTCTGCTTTTCTGCTTGTCCCCTCTTCAATTCATTCGTCTTACCACAGCGAAATCAGTTGATTTCATTTGTAGGATATAAACCAACTCATGTCAGTTTCACACTAAAACCCCTTTCCTGACTTTACATTGCTGAGGGTCACAAACTTGTGTCTGATAGGCAGAAGGGAATCTGAAATAGGTTCTGTAAGGTCAACACAATTTTTTTCTTTTTTTAGAAAATTTTGAATGTGAATGCTTTTACATCATTGGGTATCCAGTCTCCATTTCTCCATCACCTTCACTGATTCCCTCTTGCTTTATACCTGACTGGTTCTAACAAGTGCAAATTACCTGTCTGGTTCAGAAAGGAATTTTTAAGTTGTTGGTCCTGTTAAAAAAAAACAAAACAATAGCAACATCAAATAAAAATATTTTGAACAGCTTAAAAAGTATAATTTACTTAGGTTAAAAAATCATTTTATTATATGCTTATAATTTGCCAGGCACTTTACGTGTATCTCACTTATTCACTTCAATCAGCTTATGATGAAGATACCAATATCATCGCCAGTTTCCAAATAAATAAACAGAGTTTTGGAGTGTGAAAATGAAAGGAGGAAAAGGGGTGACAAGGGAAGGAATCCACTACTTAAGAAGGTAAAACCACAAACTATAAGAACCTTAGAAAATGCAGTAGACATCTTATGGAAATTGGAACTGGCAACAAATTCCTATCCAGAACTCTACAGGCCAATACCTTAAGAAATAAGATAGACAAGTGGGACCTCATCAATTTAACGAGCTTCTGCAAAGCAAAAGAAACCATCAAGGGAACAGGGAGACAACCCACAGAATGGGAAAAAATATTTTCCAACTGTATATTTAACAAAGTCCTAACATCTAGGATCTACAAGGAACTCAAACGCACCAAAGGGAAAAAAACAGTCTCTTTAAAAAGTGGGCAAAAGACATGAATAGACACTTCTCAAAAGAAGATATATGGGCAGCCAACAGACACATGAAAAAGTGCTGTCTCACTCATCATCAGAGAAATGCAAATCAAAACCACATTGAGATACCACCTAACCCCTGTAAGAATGGCCATCATTAATAAAACAAACAGCAGCAGATGCTGGCGAGGATGTGGAGAAAAAGGAATGCTTCTACACTGCTGATGGGAATGCAAACTTGTACAACCTCTCTGGAAAACAGTCTGGAGATATCTGAAAGAACAAGAAATTGATCCTCTATTGGGAATACACCCAGAGGAACTCAAATTATTCTGTAAAAAAGATACCTGCACACGCATGTCTGTTGCAGCTCTATTCACAATAGCAAAAACATGGAACCAACTGTGTTGCCCATCGAAGCTGGACTGGATTAAAAAAATGTGATATATATACACAATGGAATATTATGCAGCCATAAAGAATGACAAATACATGGCCTTTGCAGCACATTCGATGGATTTGGAGTCGATCATACTCAGCGATTTATCACAGAAACAAAGAATTGAGTTCCATATGTTCTCACTCATAACGTGACCTTGTACAATTATAATGCTATAAGAAAGTGATTGGCAGTAGTGGAAAACTGTTGGGGGGGGGGGGGACTGGCAGTTGAGGGAAACTGCTAGGGGAGGGGGGGGCACACCTCATCAACAAGGGTACCTGTATAATCAACATTTGTATATGTAACTCTGAATTGTACCCCACATCTTTAAAAAAAAAAAAGACTCAGGGGATTGGAATTTGTTAATCACCCACCAGATGGAGATAAAAGAAGTGGATAATCTCTTTTCATGTATGTTGCATTTTCCCCCTCAGTTTGGCTTTTGACCTACCCAAGTCTTCTTTTGCATTTTACTCAA